TCTTCTAAACAGTTTCAATTTTTGAAGGGTTAGGGGCTATTCCTTTAGAACTAATAATATGTTCAAGAAAAGGCAAAGACTTCATCCAGAAGTTGCATTTCTCAAGGTTAAGTTTTAATCCTGCATTTCTTATTTGTTAAAATACAGTCTTTAAATATTTCAAGTGGTCCTCAAATGTTTGAGAATATATATTGATATTATCAAGTTACACAACTACAAATTTTCAAGCAATTTCTTTATAAACTTGATCCATAAGTCGTTGGAAAGTGACAGGGGCATTACATAATCTAAACAGCATTACATTAAACTCATAGGTACTATACTTTGTAATGAAAACAGTTTTCTCTTTATTTTTAGAGTCTATTATGACTTGCCAGTATCCACTAGCTAAGTCTAAGGTTGAAAACCACTGTGATTCTGAGAGAACATTTAACATTTCTTGAATTTGAGGTAGTGGGTAGGCATCTTTCTTAGTGATACTGTTAAGCTTTCTGTAATCAACACAGAATCTTAACTTTCCATTTTTCTTCCGTATAAGAACAACAGATGATGTCCAAGGGCTTTCTGAGGATCAAATAATGTTGCTGTCTAACATTTGTTCAATTTCTTGTTTAATAAATTCTTGTTCATCTAAAGAGACATTGTAAGGTCGCAATTTGATAGATGGTATATCTTCTGTATAGATTTTATATTTAACTTTATCTGTTCTGCCAAGTTCTATAATATCTTTAGCAAACAGATTAGCAAATTCTTCTAGCAAGGTTTTGAATGCTTGTCCTTGTTCTTTCGTGAGTAGTCCTATATTTACAGTATCTGTCTTCTCTAAAATATATTTCTCATAAAGAATTAAAGTGTCTATAGTATATACAAAATTGTGTTTAAGAGCATTAGCTTGCAAGGCCTGTTGCAAAGCTTCTTCTTCTGTTGGTAATTCTTCTAAATCTTTAGATAGTTTTTCATCTTGTTTAGGATAACTCAAAAATTTTACTGTGTGAAGGCTATACGAGCATAGTATTCAGCTTGTTCTTAGTGATGTTAGATTTGTTGTTAGAAAAATTCCATCATCTTTTCAAAAATTTCTTTTAAGTACTAGATTCTAGCTTCTAATCAGACAATAACTTAGTCTTTTTCTTCATCCTTCCTCTTCTCAAAAATAGTATTCTCACTTATTTTAAGTTTTTTTACTATAATATTATCATCATAGTATGTTTCTTCTATAGGCTGTTCTGTAGTAATAATATTATTTTGGTACATTTTTTCTGTAATTGTTTCTTCGACAGGAAAGGGTTTGTTTTTCTCTTGATAACATTCATCACAAAGACCTTAGTTAGCTTCTAATTCGATACTTTGTTTAGCAAAGAGATACTCCTACAAAGAGCTACTTTTTCTTCAAAATTCTTTCTTAAATTTTTAATTGCTTTGCAAGTATCAAAGTCGGGTTGAAAGGTGTTAAAAGATTCATTTAGAATTTGTTATAAAGTGGCTTCTTTTTCTTCTGTAAGCAATGCTTGCTTTGCTTGAAATAGGATAGTAATTTCTTCAGGGGTCTATTCTCGGTTATATCTATCATCTTCTTGTTCTTCTATAGCTTCTTCTATACTTCTATATTCTTCATCAAGTAGAACTTTAACTAGATGATAGATTCGGTCTTGATTCAAGTTATACTGATATCTGGCATTCTTGGTAGACTTAATATAATACCTGATTTTGTTTTAAATCTTATAGTTTAGATTATATTGAAGGTCTGTAAAAATTTTATAAGTATATATGTGTTCCAATTCACAGAACTACAATTCTTCTTGTATGCTTTCTATGTTGTATATTCTTGATCTAGATTTCTGAATATTACAAAGTTTGTATCAGACAAGAGTTCCTCTACCAAGTCCTGTATTGTAATATTCCTGGCTTCTGGGGTCTTCTGGGTCAAGGGCTTCATAGTATGTTTTGTAACAAGCAATACAAGCAAGTTTTTCTTCTAATTTGTATAGTTTGTCAGGTTGTTGAGAGGTATAGCAGTTACAACAATGATGGGTTCTTCTTCTACTATGGTAGGTCATTCTTCTTTCTTCTATTTGGTCTTTGTCACAACCATATTTATAAGTTAAATTGTCAAATTTAAGTTGGGCAAGAGGGCAGTTAATTTCGATATGACCAAATTTATTACAACCATAGCATTGGTTGCCTAAACAATCCTTGAACAAGTGAGCAGTTTGTCCACAAGTTCTACAGTTATTTGATCTTTCACATTTGTTAGGGCAGTTGATAAGTACATGCCCAAATTTGTTGTAATAATAATATTGATTTCTGAGACAATCCTTGTATTGATAGTTAGCTTGACTACAGGTTTTGCAAGATAGTTTTCTTCGTCGAGGTTGGTAGATAGTCTATCCTTGGTCTTCATCTTCTGAGAATACAGAAAATGCATAAGCTTCATGGGGTGTTAGATATTCCTGCTCATATAATTTAAAGTCTTCGATAGTAGTACAGGTTAGCTTTTTTTCTTTAGGTTTTTCTTGCTCGTAAGAAGTATCAAGAACAATCTTCTTTTCTTTCCAATAGAGAGTATATTGGCATGTTTTCTAATTATAATTGGTTTCTACTTTCTTTGACCAATCATTAGCAGATACAACTTCTACATCTAAGGGGATAAGTCGATTTTGGATTCTCATAGGCAAATTTCTAATAATTCCAAGAGGTCTGAAGGTAGTGCCAGTAGCAGCAACAATAAGGCTTTTGGATGGTTCTTCAATTTTAAGACCTAATTCTTTCATGGTTTGGTGCGAGATTATACTGACAGAGGCTTCACTGTCAATAATAGCAGGGTAGGTGTAGTCTTGGATATCAATATAACATTTAACAGGGGTAATAGTACTAATAGATTGAGGTTTGGTATTTTCTCTATTGGCTTCAGTGATATAAGTAGTTAGAGCAGTTCTAATAGAATAATTGTTTAACAATCTTTTCTAATTGTTAGAGTTAGAGGCAGATTGCTTTTTAGCCATATTGATATTTCGGTAGTATAGTAATAGTGAGCGATTAGACCTGGGTCCCTATCTATTTTGACTTCAGTCCCTAGATCTGCTTCTGTAATTTCTGTCTCTAGATTGACTTCTATTTTTATAATTTTATTATGAGATTGACTTCTATCTCTGTTCCTTCTATTATTGTTGTTATTGTAATGATTATTATTATTCCTTCTATTATTATTATTGTTAGTTCTTCTTCCATTATTTCTGTTTCTTTGGTTATTATTATGTCTTTTTTTCTAAAATGACCTGGATTTCCACAATAATAACAAAGAGCTCTATCCTGATTAAAGTTGTTTTAATGAGAGAAACCAGATTCTCTTTTAGCTGTATAAGCAGATTTTAGTTGGAGTTCTGGTTGCTGTTTGACCATGTTAATAGCTAATTTGTCAAAGCGGCTAGTAAGATTACTAATGGCATTCATTACTGAGTCTTCTGCTGAAGCCATTAATCTTCTAGTTTCTTATTGTTTGGCAGTAGTAATAGCAGCATTTAAGTTTCCTGAAGATGATGCTTGAACAGAAATAGCATATTCAGATCGCAATCCTTTAATAAAAAGTTGAACAATAAAAAGATTAGGGAAAGCATGCTTTGGGTCTGAGTTCACTTTCTTTTGTAGTTTTTTAAACTGAGTAGCATAGGTATCTACAGTATTTGCTTCTTGTTTTAGGTTGAAAAATTCCTGTTGTCACATAGCTTGCTTCTTAATAATCATGAATTGTTCTAAAAATTTTACTTTGAATTGATTATCATCATCACTAGTATCGTATTGCTGAATTTCTTCTCTTGTTCTTTTTAACCAATCTTTTGCATTGTTATACATATAGGCTTTAGCGATAGCAAGTTTTCTAGCAGCGCTCCAGTTATTGGCAGTGGCAGCTCGTTCAAATTCATTAATCCAATTGATAGGGTCCTCAGTACTAT